TGTGTGTGTGTGTGTGAAACCAGCCTGAAGTGCTGCTGGTTTCTTATGAAGCTGTAGGACCAGTTTGTGCGGTCAGCTGAGTTTCTCTCACACAAGATTATTACATCATGAAGTTTGTGGCACTGCAGACTGTTCCTGTCAGACTCTCAGCATTTATGCTTTCAACCACTATATCACAGTGTAAATAAATACTGTATGTATATAACTGATATCACATCAGACACTTTAAGTCTGGATTAGTAAAGGCTGGCTCAGGTTTTCCACACTGTGGGTGTTTTTTAACGATGTGATGTTGATCGATTGTGACACAGTTTTCAACTGGAGGCTCTCTCAGTGACGGGGTTATAGATTGACCTCATTCTCCACACAAACCTGTGACCGCGAGGAACGGCCTCTATCTGCTGTTTGGTGATAAAGCGCTGGGATTAAAGCCTGAACCACAGCGGATGAGCCATAGCTCGGCTGAATGAGGTGCTGGACTGGACAGTCTATTTAAACCACAGCGCCGATGGCTCCAGTTACATGAATGGAACAAGTTCACCGACGCTGATCTGACACATTGTCAAGCTGCTGACCACGTGTGTGTTCTGGACACCGTAGACCCCACATGCTCCCTAACGGCTGGTAAATGACGCTGTCCAGAAGCCTCGTCACAGATGGTGTCAGTCTCAACCATCTGCTGCTGCCCCAGAGCCGAAGCCAGTGACTTACAGCAGACTGTCCAGTCCAGCACCTCATTCTGCCGAGCTACGGCTCATCCGCTGCGGTTCAGGCTTTAATCCCAGCGCTTTATCACCAAACAGCAGATAGAGGCCGTTCCTCGCTCCAGATCTGGATTGATCAGCACTACTGAGGGCTCATGATCAGTCCAGATCTGCTGATCAATCCAGATCTGCATCATGAGCCCTCAGTAGTGCTGATCAGTCCAGATCTGCATCATGAGCCCTCAGTAGTGCTGATCAGTCCAGATCTGCATCATGTGCATCATGAGCCCTCAGCAGTGCTGATCAGTCCAGATCTGCATCATGAGCCCTCAGTAGTGTTGATCAGTCCAGATCTGCATCATGAGCCCTCAGCAGTGCTGATCAGTCCAGGCCTGCATCATGAGCCCTCAGTAGTGCTGATCAGTCCAGGCCTGCATCATGAGCCCCCAGTAGTGTTGATCAGTCCAGGCCTGCATCATGAGCCCTCAGTAGTGTTGATCAATCCAGATCTGCATCATGAGCCCTCAGTAGTGTTGATCAGTCCAGATCTGCATCATGAGCCCTCCCTCAGTAGTGCTGATCAATCCAGATCTGCAGCATGAGCCCTCGGTAGTGCTGATCAATCCAGATCTGCATCATGAGCCCTCAGTAGTGCTGATCAATCCAGATCTGCATCATGACCCCTCAGTAGTGCTGATCAGTCCAGATCTGCAGCATGAGCCCTCAGTAGTGCTGATCAATACGTGAATTCGTATTCAGAAAGGCACGGAAAACAAATAACGATTGCTAGCGGTAGCCTGTTACATTACAGTACATAAAATTTCACTTACCACATAAACAGAGTAAGGAGAGATGACTGAGGAATGACGAATGATTTGCAGATCCTAAGCACCACTGACAAACATCTAATCTTGTAAAATGTGTAGTAAGTACTGCCGCTCCATAGTATAAACAAAGTACGTGCGATAGCAAATCTCGAAAGTGAAAGTGAAACTAAAAAGCGATCGTGCATTCAAAAGCAGTTTCAATGCCAGGCATAATAGCGGCTCCCTGATGCCCGCAATTTATATACAGTACAATTACCCAATGATATAACTGAGAGTATTGAAGTATATATTTTCCTCCCATCTCGTATTTATTCCCTTTAGGGGTTCCTTATACATGTCATTTTCTTTCAGAAAACGGTATTGGCATGCGGCGGATTGCGGGGTAGGGGGGATCACGGTGCCGGCTCAACATCGTGATGTCTATCAGCCATCGTCCCAACCCTAGTCCAGATCTGCATCATGAGCCCTCAGTAGTGCTGATCAATCCAGATCTGCCGTCATGGCCTGAAAGACAGTGAGAGTTATTGTTGAAGGCTCTGAGCTAGTTATCCAAAAATGTGGTCAGACGGGTCGCCTTACGCCACAAACGCTCTGAATGCTTGGTAAAAGAGCACATATTGGTGGAATAAACCACAGCTATGATTGGGAGAAACAAATGACTCCAATTATATTTAGGTATTAAAGGAATTAAACGTTGATATGAAATGAAATCGATCAATCTGTCACCAGTGGGCTGCAGTGTTATTGGAGTAAATGACAGAACAATTGCTTTAATCATCATTGTACTGATTGACTTTGTCCAGTCTGATCTGTTCTGGGAAAATAACAGACAGATATTGATCAGGACTGTGTTTGTGCGGCCGCTGCTGAAGTCACAGCAGAATTGAATTCTGTTTGGATCATTGAATCATTATTCCCTGTTTATCGCTGTGAAACTGCTTTGAAACAATCTGTATTATGTATGAAATAAATGTGACTTGATTAAAAATGGCACAACTTTCCAGCTTCGATTGAGCTTGACCTCCTGAGCGGCCGATTTGAAGTCGCGGGAGTCTTGTGTCCTGAGTTTCTGTGTGATTGTGGCTCTGGTCGTTCAGTGATTTGGTGTTTGACCTGCAGGAATGTGTCCGGTCAGAGCCCCTCCCACTCCACGGTCTGCTCCAATCAGAGTTCAGGTGTGGCTCTGTGGGTGTGTGTGTGCTGGTAGTGCCGCATTCCTGCCGTGGCTCAGCTGAGAACAGGGAAAGTTCTGGATGCTTCTCTGTGGTTATGTGTGAATCACACGCGCGTCTCGTCATTGTCAGGTTATTTTGAGATCTGGGGAAGCGCTCTACGCTCGACAGGACGGTCCTGTATCTTTCTGCGTTCTGTACTCTGCCACACTTACCTTCAGCAAAGTAAAAGACGTTTGGAGTCGTGTCATCTCATCATTCACATGATCGGTCCTCCTGAAACACCGTTAATCGCTCGTGAGCGTTCAGAAGCTTCACTCATGAATGAACAGAGACGGTCCTCCTGAAGCGCTGCTAATCGACCTCACATTAACGATGTTTCCGCACACCGCTCGTGAGCGTTCAGATGCCACGTGAACATGACGTCAGCCTGCGGGCCGATGATGCATTCAGATGATGTTTGAGGTCGTCATCAGAAATCACGTGACGTCTGTGTCAAATCTAAATCAGATCAGAGTTAATGAGGAAGGCTTTAATGAGCTGAACTGATGCACTCTTTCACACACACACACACACACACACACCACACAAAAACACACACACACACACAGTTATTCCTCAAACCTCTGCTGTAATTACTTAAGTTCACTTTAAAATCCAAAACTTTTCATGTTGTGAGCCCGTTATTTGTTTAAATTATTTTTGAAAAGTAGTGATGTCATTTTTTATTTACCTTGTGTTTTATTTTTCGACATGCATTACTTACAGTGCTGTGTAGATTACTTACAAATTGTAATCAATTACTGATTATAAATTACATGACAGAAATCCAAAGTTCTGGCATGAAACTCTAGATGGTGCAGTCCGATAGGTTAAACTCAATCTGACATAATGACATCATCATCTCATGGTGCAGCTGATTGGTTATCTTTGTATCAGCAGCCAATGAGCTCGCTGCTGTACATTCATATATTTAGCTGCAGCGTGCTTCAGAAACCCTCCACCTTCCCCAGCTCCACCTGTATAGATCTGCTACGAGGTGATTCATGTGTGCTATATGGGGGTTATTTCATGTTATTTGTGCAGCAGCAGTATTTCTTTCATGCTCACAGCAGCATGGTGTGGATGTATTGGCAGCAGCAGATCTATTCCACCAAGACCAAACACATTAACATTGTCGTGTACATTACCATGCCAATCCCTCCGAGAGCTGTCATGATAGAAATCATAGTTCGTACCGTAATCTGTTGGATTACACATAGCAGGTAATGTATTCTGAATAATTTTTCATTACTTTTTTTAAAAATTACTTTTGACCTAAAATATATTCCATTCTTTGTTACCAACATCATGATGTGTATTAAACACTACATTAAGCCTGGGTTTCCCAAACTGAACTTCATGAATGAACTACAGGGGGTTTGAGAGTGGATGAATAGCCTTCCAAATGTGTAAAAGCGGAAGAAATTTGGAAAGGAAAATTTAAAAGAGGAAAAAATAATAATTGGGGCAAATCAAATTATAAATAATTTACAGCCATTATATGAATAATATGTGTCTGGCATTGTGAAGTGCAGCTGGTATCTGTAATTCCTTTGGACTTCATGGTAAATCATGGTAAAAAACAAATATATAAAGTCGCTGAGCAGAAGCAGCTTCATAAGTTTAGATTTGTTTCCCTTAATGTGGGCTTCACTTTAGCTCAACTCGCATTCATATCGGTTTCATTGTGACGCACTTTTTCTGATGAGACTTTTTTGGCACTCAGTGAAAAGACCTTCGTGTTCATTATCAAATGTTTAGAAATAAATTAAGTCTGTAATTGTAGAGTGAATGGTCTTCAGTCGGATGAGGATCTGCCTTTTATTTAGGCTTGTTTTGCCCATTATCACTCTGTAATAACTGATTGTAATCGGTCAGTGTCTAATGACTGTCAACTGTATAATTGGTCGTTGTCTCAGTCAGGCATCGTTAGCATGAGCTGATGTTGACAGCTGTAGGTCATCACTGATCTTCAGAAGCTCTGGCAGATGATGTGTGCTTTATTCTCATATGAGTGCAAACTGTGCAAATAAATGAACAAGTACTGATAATGTTCTAAATATTAATATCAAGCTGAAGTTGATTATTTCACACACAGATGAGTGTGACTGCAGTGTGTGGTGACCTGAGCTGACCATCATGTGATGTGTGTGTGTGTGTGTGTGTGTGTCGCAGGGAGCAGCCGATCTTCACCACCAGAGCTCATGTCTTCCAGATCGATCCCACCACTAAGAAGAACTGGGTTCCTGCCAGTAAACAGGCCGTTACCGTCTCGTACTTCTATGACAGCACACGCAACAGCTACCGCATCATCAGCGTGGACGGGTCAAAGGTCAGACAGACACGTGTGTGTGTGTGTGTGTGATGGAGTCAGTGTAAGAGGGTCTGCTGATGCTGTGATCCACAGTCTGAGTGCTCACACACACACACACACTCGCACACACACACACACACACACTGAGGGTCTTCCTCTGCAGAGGGTTTATGGTTCATGTTGCCATGGAGATTTGGATCAGTCCCTCAGTATGGAGGCGGCAGTGATGATGTCACAGCGCACACCTGCTGCTGTCACTCTCTGAGAGCAGATTGATGAAGACTCACACTCACATTAGTGTGTTAGTAGCAGACAGACAGACACACACCTGCTGCCGTCACTCTGACAGCACACACACACACACACACACACACACACGTGTTAAGGTTAAATGGCTGGTCGAACACACACGTTACTCTGATCAGCTTCAAGAGTCACACAGAATCAGTGAGAGTGAAACACTGAAGAAATGACGTCAAATACACAAAATACATAGCTGTGTGTGTGTGTGTGTGTGTGTGTGTGTGTGTGTGTGTGTGTGTGTGTGTGTGTGTGTTCTTGCTGCTAATTAATCAGTCCAGCTGTCTTTAACTGTTTCCAACAACAATTGTATTTATGACATATGAGTCACATTTTGGAGAATTATAGAGAAGTGACATGTGAAAGATTAAGGACTGATATTAGATCAGCACTCTTATTTATTAACACACAGGAATGATGTGTGTGTGTTACGTTGTGATGTGTTTGTTTTTCAGGTGATCATCAACAGCACAATCACCCCCAATATGAACTTCACTAAAACGTCGCAGAAGTTTGGCCAGTGGGCCGACAGTCGTGCAAACACAGTGTTTGGACTCGGCTTCGCCTCCGAACAACAGCTGTCCAAGGTCTGACAATACATCACGCATGCTTGCACACACACACAAGCACAGGCCGTCACACATGCATGCACACACACAAACACATCACACAAACAGACATCACACACACAGGCCGTCACACACACACACAGATCATCACACATGCATGCACACACTCTCACACACACACAGGCCGTCACACATACACACACACACAGGCCGTCACGCATGCATGCACACACACACACACACACACACACACACACACACACACACACACAGGCCGTCGCACGCATGCATGCACACTTGATGTGGCTGTTTTTGATGTTGATGTTTTATAATTATCTGAAACGGTCACAGCACGTGTTTCTGCAGTAACTGTAGAAGCAAAACACCTTTATGAAGGTTCATATGTTCATTTCATAAGCCTTTTGACAATCAGAGGTGTAAAAGTCCCAATCTGTGTTTTTTTCCTTTCCTGATCCGTGTTTTTTCTGTGTTTTACCTCAGTTTGCTGAGAAGTTCCAGGAGGTCAAAGAAGCTGCGAAACTGGCCAGAGAAAAATCTCAGGAGAAGATGGAGACGTCCAGCGATCAGTCGCAGGTACATGTGACAACATGATCGTCATCTGAAAAACAAACACGCAGTCCTGCAGGTTCCTCTGACCCTAATGAGACAGAAACAGCAGAATGCTTAAACTGAGGAGGAAAAATATATATTTGTATATGCATGCATATATACGTATCTCGGATTTGACTTCACTGTTCGGAATAGAGATAAAGCACATTTAGGCCACGCCCACGGGGGGGGGGGCAATCCAACCCTCTCCATTGACTTTGTATTGCGGGAAGCTGCCTCCTTGTCATTTCTGACTTATAATAAAAAACAGAACAATGTCTAAAAGCTGCTGTGTGACAAGGTGTACAGTAAACAAGCTAAAAAACCCAGAACTACGTATGAACTACGTCGACCCAAAAAACAAAATGGTACTCAGTAGCTTGTATGGCCCCCATGTGCTTGTATGCATGCATGCTTCTAATGAGACGACGGATGGTGTCCTGGGTATTTCCTCCCAGATCTGGACCAGGCATCACTGAGCTCCTGGACAGTCTGAGGTGCAACCTGGACTGAAACATAATGTCCCAGAGGTGTGCTATTGGATTTAGGTCAGGCGAGCGTGTAGGGCCATTCAATGGTATCAATTCCTTCATCCTCCAGGAACTGCCTGCATACTCTGGCCACATGAAGCCAGGCATTGTGTGCACCAGGAGGAACCCAGGACCCACTGCACCAGCGTAGGGTCTACCTAATGGCAATCAGGGTGCCATTGTCCAGCCTGTAGAGGTCTGTGCGCTCCTCCATGGACATGCCTCCCCAGATCATCACTGACCCACCACTAAACCGGTCATGCTGAATGATGTTACAGGCAGCATAACGTTCTCCACGGCTTCTCCAGACCCTTTCACATGTCACATGTGCTCAGGGTGAACCTGCTCTCATCTGTGAAAACCACAGGGCACCAGTGGTGGACCTGCCAATCCTGGTGTTCAATGGCAAATGCCAATCGAGCTCCACGGTGCCGGGCTGTGAGCACAGGGCCCAGTAGAGGACTAGAGCCGGGCCCTCAGGCCACCCTCATGAAGTTTGTTTCTGATTGTTTGGTCAGAGACATTCACACCAGTGGCCTGCTGGAGGTCATTCTGTAGGGCTCTGGCAGTGCTCATCCTGTTCCTCCTTGCACAAAGGAGCAGATAGCGGTCCTGCTGATGGGTTAAGGGCCTTCTACGGCCCTGTCCAGCTCTCCTAGAGTAACTGCCTGCCTCCTGGGATCTCCTCCATGCTCTTGAGACTGTGCTGGGAGACACAGCAAACCTTCTGGCAATGGCACGTATGGATGTGCAGTCCTGGAGGAGTTGGACTGCCTCTGCAACCTCTGTAGGGTCCAGGTATCGCCTCATGCTACCAGTAGTGACACTGACCCTAGCCAAATGCAAAACTAGTGAAAAACAGTCAGAAAAGATGAGTGGGGAAAAAAATGTCAGTGGCCTCCAGCTGTAAAACCATTCCTTTTTTAGGGGTTGTCTCGTTGCCCATCTAGTGCACTCGTTTTTAATTTCATTAACACCAATGCAACTGAAACTGATTAACAACCCCCTCTGCTACTTGACTGACCAGATCAATATCCCAGGAGTTTAATTGACTTGATGCTATAATCTGATTAAAAAGTGTTCCTTTAATTGTTTTTGAGTAGTGTAGTAGTAAAGATGAAGGGATGATCGCGCTCCGCGCTACTGTTAGAACTGAGGCGTTTATACAGCGATCTGTAGCGCCACATCAAAGAATGCCAAAACGACATGTATTGTCTGAATTTCGTGAAAAAATTGAATGATTTGTTCGGTACACATGCATACCGAACCGAAAGACCCATACCGAAAATTTTCGGTACGAATATGTGTACCGTTACACCCCTAATATTTATATATACAGTGCCGATCCTAGAATTCTGTGTGCCCTAAGCAAAACTTTGTCGGGGCCCCAAAATGCTCCCAAAATCCTTAACCTTTCTTTCAGAACAGTTTCACTGTCAAAACAACAGTGAGTTAAAAAAAAAAAGTCAGTAATACAAAAAAGGAAGAAAATTGCAAACAATAGGGCAAATACAACAGAAAAAAAAAAACAATTTAGCCTATAATAGCCTACTATACAGAAATTGATTAAAGTAATCAAATGTACAAATAAATCACTGCATAGACTTCACCATATAAATTAAAAATAAATTAATTCATAAAGTTATGAACAATATTAAGTGAAGAGCAGATGATGACAGACAGGCAGGTTTATACAGTAGGATGCTGTCACGGAGTGCACAGATCTAATATACTGACTAGCATTCGATTTGTTTATGTTCATTTAAGACATAACTGACTGTGAGAGCTGACTGTGTTTAGTGAAAACTCATCAAGACGGACATTTTGACATATACATAGAGCCATATTTGTCCATGTTTCACTCCGACTTGAATCGCGCTCATGGAAAGCGCTTGAGAAACCGCAGCTCAGTGCTTTGAACTCGTTTTTTAGTATCGAGCAAGAACGGCATGGAGACTTATACGACAGTCATGTTACATGGTTTGACTGATTGGCATGTTAAGTAGAAAGTGAGACAGCCCACTGCATTAAAGAAACATTCATGTTTTCATAGCAGCTGGCCGAAATCAACAACAAAACTGAAATGAAATCATCTTTGAGAGGAAGGGGGCCTCCTGATGTTTCGGGGCCCTACGCAACATGCGTACGTTGCATATAGAGAGGATCGGCTCTGTATATATAAAACAATTTTATTTTATTTTTCCTTATTTAGAAAAAGTAAATGCAAAGTTCTGGCATGAAACTCTAGATGGTGCAGTCCGATAGGT